TTTGTTAAATAAATTCGGTAAATTCTTAAAAATAAAACGGGGCGTTACAGTTTGGTATCAGAGCCAGTCTTGCTTTTCTGTAGACTGGTTCATATGTGATTAAGTGTTTAATGACCATTAACCACTCGCTTCCTCTCGCCGCGCCAGCTCAAGGTATGAGTTTTATTTTTTGATTATTGTCGATGACGTGATCATTGTTTGTTCTTTTATTGGGGCTTAGGAATTTACCATCCATTTTTACGGACTTGAACTCTAGTGGAATAGAGTTAAGTTCCAACTTTAGTAATGTTTGTTGTGAGTTTTCGGGTTGGTGTTATCGAGTTAAGTTTGGTCTATAGCAGTGCACTCGTTATGAGTTTCTGTTTAGTACCATCGAGTGAGAATCATTCGTAAGCTATCTCGAAAGAGAAGGCTTAAGTAAAGGGAACAGACAAACGAATAAGTCTCGGATGTGTGGATTATTCGGAAGTCTGTGACTATTGTGGCTAGAACTATTAGGCGCGTGTAGAACCCGGTCAATGGGAACCGGGAGTGGAGTCTAAGTGTCGGTTTCATGTCGATGATCCGACCACTTGTGCTGGTAGATTCGTGGGGATCAGGTTAATGGCTGATTTTCCCTGTTATAATTTGTTCGTTTTCATTTGTTCTTACTCGTTGGTTTGTCTCGCAAATTCTTCGAGAATATTGATAACTCTCGTCTTTTATAAATCGAGTATCATGTAGTTGCTGTGATTAACATGTTGTGCTCGTTTATTTTTGTTGGGAAGTCATATTAATCGTGGTCGAGCTTAGAACATTGGTTATATATGTTTATTGTTATTTCTTGTTAATTTACATGTTCGCTGTTTCTGTTGTGCCTCAGTTTAAGCCATCCGAGGCTGGTTATTTGAAGTTGCTATCTTCTTATGAAATGTAGTATGTTTGGGTGTCTGTATCTGGGCTTTGGAATTTCTCGATTCCGAGTTATATCAAATAAGTTATGATTTTTACGAGAATATTGCGCGTACAGTTTTCCTGTTAGCCGGCAGCATGTGTGTAATTAATGTATGACCTGTTTATCATGTCATAACATGCTCTTATGAATTTGTGCCCTTCATAGATGTTATAGGTATATTTCTTATATTTCAAATGAGATAAATTTCATGTTAATATGTGCTCTGTAGCTCGAGTTGTGTTCTTAGGAAGATAGACATGCATGAGATAGAGTTTTGTGTTTTGGCAGAATCTGATATAGAATGTTAACTGATTTTACACTATCTAAATGACCTTTTATGCTACAGTGTTCTAAATAAAAGTTGTAGAAGAATGCTTTAGGTTTAATTTGAGACTTGAACCATGTCATTTGAAAGTCTAGCTCGATCTAGAGGATAAACCCTGTAGTGCTATCCATTTCGCATGTTAGTCTCTGGCAGGTTCGTTGAATCATATGTATTGTGATCAAACTCGTTGATAATGTGATTAATTGCCAAAGTTATCTTCAGAAAAGTTGTAGACATTTGAGTTGTCTAGCATGTGGGTTTTGAATTTCATTGAAAGCATGTCTGTAGCTCCAATTAGCTAGCTTTTACTGAAGTCTGGTTAGTGGCATATCCCAAGTTATGGACTGTAAATAAATTTTCAATATTTGTTGATTTATCACCTGCTAAATGGTCTTATTTGATTTCAGTGTCTTCATATGAATTGTAGTTTTGTCTCTTAGGATTTAAATGTCCCAAGTTTCATTCATATAGCATCTTTTTTCATAGAGATGTATTAAAAATATCGGACTTCGTGCAATTCAGTTTTCTGGAAAATTGGCAGCAAATTTAATGTGTGAGCTTAAGCTGTTTCCAACCCTCTAATCTACCCATTCACGCCTTTGCCGCCCGAGTGCTTTTCCATTGCCTTTGACTACTACTTTTTGCTTAGTAGTCAAGTTTGAATTGTATTTCGAGACCATCTTATATAATTGATTTTCGTACCGTGTTAATTTCGCTTGATTTTCCTTTTTCCTTGCGTAGAAATTTTGGATTGTGTTGAGCATCGAAATTTCACCTTCTATTGATCCTTATCTGATATCGAACCGTGTGCAGTAACTTCGCTAAGTCAATGCGAAGGTCAACTTGAGAATACCTTAGCTTCGAGATAGACGACGATCAATTTTTCTTTCGTGTTCTATTTTAACTTTGAATCGAAGTGGCGTACGTGAGAATCGTCGCATACCTAATCGGGAGGAGCCTTGACACCTTTCTAGGGATGTTTTGTTATAGGAGAAATCTTTTAAGGAGGGTAGTCGAGCTAGATGAAAGCACATCGTGAGGTGCAGAGTCGTCATCGTTTTTGAATTATGTTCGTCGTAATTCTTTGAAAACTCTCGTTCTTTTTCCCTTCGGAGTTTCGAGAGTGATCCTTTGTATTTCATTGACTTTTTGCAATCATTTAAAAACTCTTGTTTTTGATTCGTTGGAGTTTCCACTTCAAGATTTGCAACCTCATGTATTGATTAAGACAAGTACTTTCGTTTTACCGCTTGTCTTATATTGTTTCTTTCGATTTTGGTGATGCCATTTCAGTCTGGGTACTTCATTCATACCCTGATCGATTAGTCGTGTTTTATTTTTAACGTTGATGACCTATATTTGAGACGCGATCGAGACGAATCAACCAAGGAGGCTTCGTGATGAGATCCAGAAACGTGAAAATCTTAGCAGCGTAGAAATTGAGCTCGTATAGGACTGCCGGCACGATGAGCTACTGGAGATAGAGCTAACGTGATGGCCGACACTGTTAGTCGGAAGAGTCATGCGAGCTGATCATCTTCATTATTCGGCAATGACAGTTGAGTTGGGATGATTTCTAGTTGAGGATGCCGATATTCGCGTTCTTTTAAATGTGATGTCTTTGTTATATCCTAATGTTGATCGGTTTTGTGAAAACCTTTCCTTCCAGGCTACCTCAGATAGTGTGAGCCTTGAATTAGAGTAATTCTTTTCTGTATCTGGAACCGAATGCCGACGCTGACTGGGTGTAGTCACGCGAAGTGGTGGTCGAGCAGGCGAGCTTGTGCTGAGAGACGTGAGGCACTGGAGGGCCGATCGTTGACTCGCACGTGAGCTGCAGCCACCATCACCGAACGCAGGAGCTCCCCAAGCCAGTGTGTGGCCGAAACCTTGACCTTGCAACTGTTCTCCGAACAGATGTACGCGCACGTCCCAGCGCCCCGCTTATGCAGCGCCTGTGTGTATGGCATCTCTCGGGAGACAGTGCATTAAACCTCGGACTGGCTATGTCCTTTTAGATCGTTATAATGGGATCGTCGAGCATCCCTACTTGAGAGCCAGTTTCTGTGATAGAAGTTGTTTTCGAATATCTAGTCGATACTTCCTATACCGCATACGAGTTGTTACTCGTGTCGGCAGGGAACGCGGCTTTGTCACCGATATCGAGCAGAACCGTGGCTTCTGTAGGTATCAGTGTTGAGTTTGTGGTGTTGTTGTTGCTTTGTTAGCCTTTTGTATGAGATCCCGTGGCGGCCCGTTTGATACGGACGCACGGATCACTTTGGGATCGTGGGCAAGTTGTCAACGTGACCCGGGCACGAGACTGAACTTGGCACCGCGTAGAAATCCAGATAGTTATGCGTTTAGGACATGCTGTCGAGACCTTGAGAGACTGTTTTGAGTCTGGTGTACTCGATGGGTGTGTCGTGTGGAATTTCTTACCATAAGGAAGGGCGCTTATAGCGATGGCTAATAAGCGACGATCTTGATGGTACCGTACGAGGTTCTGAGTACGGAAAGAGGCGTTGTATGCCTCGAGTTCTGGGAAGAGAGGAAGTATCAGCCACATTTGTTGGTCCTTTCGTGATTCTCGACCGAGTCGGCGTCTTGGCCTGACGGTTGACCCCATCACCGGAGCTTGCAAGAGTGCACGACCTGTTCAGTGCCTCGTGGAGAGGGGACAGGTGCGCGACTCTAGGCACGAGGCGATCTTTGACGAGCTGCATGTGGGCAGAACCTTACCTTTGATGAGGTACCGGTGACCTACTGGATTGGCGAATCCAGCAGGGAGAGTCCGGAAGAGCTACTCGCCAAAGTCCGGCAAGGTAACCATGGCTAGTGCGGTGTGACTTGGTAGAGTGAGAAGGTTCGGACGGAGTATCCGAGTTGAGTGGTTTGAGCTTCTCTCTTGTGTCAGTTGTCCTGTTGGGATGATTTTTCTTTGATTTCCGGGGACGGAAATCGTTTAAGGAGGGTAGACTGTAAGGCCCCATTTATTTGTGGGTTATTTGAAGTATTATTATCATTATTATTATTATTATTATTAGTATTATTATTATTATTATTATTATAATTATGGATGTTTATTATTATTGTGATATTATTAGTTATTGCTTGCCAAATTGAATGCCTAGATATTATATGTCTACTTGTCAATTAATTGCTAATTGTATATTTTGATTTATAATATTAGTATTTTAAAATAATGTACGTATTTAATTTATATTGTCCGGAGTTTTGTTATTTGCCGTGCAATCGATTTGAGCTGTCGAAATTAGTAATCGGAGAACCCGAGCCCGAGAGCTGAATTTATTTTCGTGTGATTAAATCGGGCCCGAGAGCCGAATTTATTAATCGTGCGTTTTAATCGAGCCCGAAAATGCCCGCGTGAACTGAACCCGGGCCCGTGAACCGATTCATTGTTCCAAGACCGGCCCAACTGAATTGGCCCGCGATCCAAATCCGTTAAACCGCCCCAGCTCGAGCCAACCCGCCCAAGATCCGGTCTGTCTCAATTTCGTGCGTGTGGGACTTTTATTAGTCTTGTGGGACAAGAATAGTCAACCTAGAGCATATACATATATATACTTGTATCTATTTTCTCTCGTCAATTTTTTCCTCACGCCGCAGCCTCAATTTCTCCTTCTCTCTTGCAACAGATTGCACGGCTTCATTTTCTCCATAATCCGTTCGCAACTTTCGCCAGAATCCTCTCACCCCGCGTCTTAAATCCCTCGGCATCTATCTTCTCGATCTCGACAGAAAACGAATCTCACGATCCTCATCGTTTTCATCCTCCTCCCTTGAACTCGCGCAGAGCCTCCTCCGCCGCGACTCGCCGTGAATCAACAGCCCTTCTCCGCCGCTCCCCTGTCCACGCGCAGACGACCCCACAGCAACTCCAACAACCCTCGATTTCGCGCAGCAACTGGACGAGCGACTCCTTCACGTGGGAGCAACCCAGCGGCGAGCTCAATCGTCATAGTCCCTCCACAAGCCGCTCCTCCTCCTCCTCGCGCCGCCGTGACCAGACCTCCGGCGCCTCTTCCTCCGCGAGCAGCGCCCCGACGACGTAACTCCTCTCTGTTCGTGAGCCCCATCGCTGCAACTTCACCCCGACAAGCCGCTGCCGCACCTGCAAGCCGTCGCGGCCACTCCCGGCGAACCCCTTTTCCCGACGAGCACTTCTCCTCCGCAGCATCACCTCCGATGGGACGTCTCGGCCATCGCTGCAACCCCGCAATCGTGAAGGACCACCGCAGCTCTCTTCTCGGCGAGCCGCGCGAAGCCGTCGAGCCCCGTCGAGCCGTCTTCTCTCGTTCGAACCTTCTCGTTCGTTTTTTGAGAACGGTATCGAGTCTCGACTTCTCGTTTTAATTATACGTGAATTGTGTCGTGATCATGTGTGTATGTCGTGATCGTTGAATTGTTATATGCTTGTTCGAATTGTTCGTTGTGTATTTATATTCGCTATTTTATGTGACACTCGTCGATTCGTGCGAATCGAGCCAGAACTAAGTATAAGTGATTAGTTGCTGTGGATTTAGGAACTTAGGATCATTATGAACACAATGGTTTTGACCTTGTGTCGTTTGGGTTTATAGATTGGGAGATATCAATCGTCGAAGTTCATAATTGCGGTTTTGAATGTAAAATTCACTATAAATTGAACACTTGTCTGATTGTCTTGGAATTTTAGGAGCAGCTGTTTTTGATGCATATGTAGCTGCTGTAAAATTTTCGTGATTTTTAAAGGTGTTTAGCTATTTTTAAAAATTAAATTGTTTTCTGTTCAGTTTCTTGTAAAATGCATAAGTAATTTTGTAGTCTTCTTTTCTGGCCAATTTTGGAGTATGTTATGTTTCAGGCACAATTATATGTGGTGTAAAAAGTTTAGAATTTTTTAACTGGGTTTGGTAGAGTTAATGATTTATTTGGTGTTTCTGGCCGATTTTGTTTTAATTGTTATAAATTGTACTGAAGCTGACAAATTCTGAAAACCTGTGGAGGTGCTTATTATATAATGTTCGGCATGCCTTAAAAAGTTTAGAAATTTTGGAGTTCAGTTGAAGTCGGTTCTGTTATAAGTGCAATACTTGGCTGAATGTTGTTTTAATTTTATAAAATCACTTGCTGAGTGTAAAAGCCTGGTATTTTTATATGTTGCTGCTCCTATGTTTTAAAATTTTAGATAAAAATTTTGTGGCAAGAATCATCCATTATCATGTGCTTTTAATTTAAACTCGCTTTTGTTGAAAAACTTGGCTGAATTTTATAAAATCATGTACCATGAGTTGGAAGCTGAAACTTGGCCATTTTTCTTAAAACTAGGAGGTGAATTTTGTGTAAAATTTTCAGAGCCTGACTCATAAGTTTGATATGCCTTCAAGTTCAAGTGGGAAGTTGAGAAATTGTTTTTCTATACTAAATGTGTTAAATGTTGATGACCAAATGTGCCATGTGTTTTTGCTTGTGGCTCGTTTGTTGTCTTTCACTTGCTTTTGTGTGAACTCGAATATGTGGTTTGATCGAGTCTAAGTCCTAGTGTTCCCATATCCACAGAACTTCACGAACCACTTGGTCAAACCGAGTTCGGCTAAGTCAACTTGTGAATTTGCTGCATAGGTCTAGATTAAAGTGTTGACTTTAGTATCTGGACTTAATGTAGGTTTCGAGAGGTGTTGAACCTCGCCTCGTCTCGAGATTTGTGATTTGAACTGTAGCTGCTATCAGGTGGGTACATTTATGATGTATTCCATAATTATCGCATTTATTATTTCGTGTAATATTTCTTTTGAAAATTTTTGTATGCATGAGAACTCTAGTCTAAGTGTCTCGAACGATAGTGCCTTTGATGAATGCGAAAGCAGTGGAAGTCGCCTGCCCGTTGTATCCGGGAGGTGGACGCCCGAATCCGTGTAGAGCGGAGGGGATTGTCTGATTTACTCGAATCCGTGTAGAGCGGAGGGGTAATTCAACTTCACTGTCTCCTGGAAAGGATCCCATGTACCGTTGTATCCGGGGGTGGGAAGGTTTCCAGTTACAGCCATGCCGTCGTATCCGGAAGGTTGTTGTATGTACATAGGAGGTTTGCGATAGGGCCGGGTAGGGGTTTAGGCTATGAATTTTATGCATACCGGTATTGATATTGTACACTGCGATTACTTGTTTGTAAAATTATTATACGGAATAATCGTGCGATAATGGTGAGCTTGTTGGTTGCTCACCCCCGTTATTTTTCTTTGTTGTGTCTTCTCTTCCTTTGCTTTAGGTTGAGACGAGCTGGAGGCGGTAGCGTAAAGACGAGCGAGATGGTGGTCATTTACTGGATGTGTCTTTTGCTTCCGTTTGACTGTATTTATGTTAAACTACTTGCTTTTGTTTGGATTGTTAATGCTTCCATCGATTTGGGTTATTTTATTCTTCTCTTTCGAACTATGTTCGAGTTACGTTTGAATCTTGATTCATGCTAGACTATTTGAATGATTTGAGACTTGTGATTTTATGGGAGTATTTTATATCGTTAGTCCGAGCATGTGTAGGTTCTTTGAATGATTTGTTGTGTTGTTTGCTATTGTTAATAAGTAGCGCCCGGTTCTCGTTAAATGTTTTTAATTTGGATTTAAAAAAAAAAACTCTGATTTTTATTAAATAAATTCGGTAAATTCTTAAAAATAAAACGGGGCGTTACAAGACCGCGGGGGATTATTCACTTCCTCCTCGTCGTTTCGTGCCATATCGCTTTGATCGTCGGAGTTTGATGATTCCGGAGCAAGGTTGGCTAACAAGTCTCGTAACTCCCTATGAATGGATTCGTCGTTTGGAATGAGTACACGACCACTCCTAGTACGCATAAACAAAAACAACAACTCGTTACGAGCACCTGATGACGAAGGAGAATAAATGGCAAACACCCCAAAATACTAACTAACAATTAGGAAAAACAAAAATAAGAAAACAAGAGAAACACGGAAACAACAAATCACAAGAATAAGAGAAACACGAAAATAAAATGAATAGACGCACGAAATAATTCCTAAACCTTCCCCAGCAATAGTGCCATTTTGTTGTAGATATATTTTACCGGAGTAGAATCGAAAGATTCGAACATCGGGTCGTGTTCTCAAGGAAGATTAGCTGGATTAAATTGTACGTTTATTCAATCACGAAGAGAAAATAGTCCTAAACATTCTAATTCGATTTGTCGGTTTTTGGTTATCAACTAATGACTCGTAAAATAAAGCTATTTAAATATCGCAACTCGCAAATGCAATACAAGAATATACAAACGGGCTAGGGTGTTGGGGATAATCGCTTCCGGTTCTATACGCATTTAACGGCAATCAACAACTCGGTTAAAAGGCTCGACTAATTAACTCATTTAGCGGTTTAAACTCAATAACTCTTCATAACATGCGAATAAACATAAACGAGCGAATCAACGAAACAATCAACATATAGACACTAATTCTCCGAACATGCCTACTCTCAATGAGTCAAGTTCCACCGATTTCTCCCCTCTCGGTTATAAAATCGATTAACTCGGTTAAAATGGTGATCAAACATCTACCCCTAGAATTAATAAAACTCATAAAGATTGAGCTATCAACATGCATATAAATGAGAATGAACCGGATGATTATCCCCTAGCCCCTAGCAAATGGATTAGCCACGCATTGTCATCTCAACACAAGCATTCATATTCATTAAAGCCATCATTTTCATTACAAACACAATGAAAAGGAAAAGAACTTACTATTAATGTGCAATCTAATGTCAAAAGCAAGTACAAACCAACTCCAAATGCTAAAAGTCTCCAAGTGTTTCTTGTTCAAACATGAAAAACCAAAGAACAACCAAGAGAAGACTAAAGAGAAAAAAATGGAAGAAGAAGTGAAGTAGTATGGTAGAGAATGGTCAAGAATCTCTTCTAGGGGGTGAAAAACTCAGTTTACAAGGCAGATGGTCGGCCAAACATGCTCCACTCACGAGCACTTCTCCCCAGCATTCGGCAAAATCGTGAAAATCCCACTTCTGAAAAACAGGGTCTAGCGCCGCTAGGGGGGTGCTAGCGGCGCTAGGGTGCAAATGGCCCGAGCTTCAGAAGTCCGCTAGCCCTCTTAGCGGCGCTGGACAAGGGACCCTAGCAGCGCTAGGGTACCCCTAGCTGAGCTAGGGTTTGAGAAACAACAAAAAATTTCCTTTTTCTCGCGCTTGGTCTCGACTGGCACTTCTCGGATTCTGCCCGAGCTGAAACTCGACTCCCGAGCGTTTAGTCGCACAAAACGGCATAGAACTCCTCGGAATTGGAACAGAATCGTCAAAAGCTTGTAACCACCACAACGAGAAAAATAAGAAAAACAAGAAAAATAGGAAGAAAAAATAACAAAAATAACAAACACACCAAAATAACAATGGAAATACAAGAAACGACTAAAGGGACCGGAAAATCCTAAGAAACGACCTAAAACGGGGCTAAAAAACCAACAAAATACCAACAAAAATAACAACAAAAATGGGACAAATAGGTATTTTACTAAAGGATGAGGAAACGCTACAGACGATGCTGACCATGCATGCTATAAAGCATCAGTATCATTTCAAGGTTGGCAAGTCATGCTCCAAACAATATTATGTCAGGTGTGTCTCGATCATTTTCACATTTCCCAAATTCAATCAATTCATTTCACAGCAGATTCAAGGAAATTCTAATCGAATATAATTCAGACCAACTTCTCACAGAAAAGAAATGAATATGACTCAAGTCTCACAAGGAAGATGAAGTAAATCAAAATAACCAAGCGCTTCATCGAGATGTGACTCTCATGCTCATCATCACAACTTTTTAACTCCATCAATCAATTATCAACTAATCTTATCATACACCACAGTCCCAGCTCAGAAAGACAACACATAATCCTACAAACTAGACTGGTCCGCTAAGGAAAAGAAAAGAAATAAAAGCAGTCCTAAAAATAAAAAACTAGACCTGGTCAATCACATAGCCACGTAATCACGTAAAAAACCCCCCACACTTAGAATTAGACAATGTCCCAATTGTCGATCCGAAGTACAAGAGAGTCAAACCAAAAAATCAATCGACTCGAAAATGAAACAAACTATACATAACAAAAGAGAAAAAGAAAAGAGAAACGTACAAAGCACAATGACAAGTCACTGTGCATCCGATGGTGGTGGCTGTGGAGGGTCGCCGCTGCCCGAACTCCAACGGGTGTCCCACTGGCTGAAACGGGTATCCCAAGTGGTCCACTGCTGGTACTGCCGCTCCGCCCAGGTGTCCCATCGACTGTCGTGAGCGGTCCAGTGTGCCGCATTGTCCCGCATAAACTCATTCCACCGTCTGGTCTGCTCTGTCCAATGCACGTCGTTGGACTCTACGTACGACGTCCAACGTGCGTCGTTCTGTTCGGTGAAAGCCGTCAAGCGGGCATCATTCCGAGCCTCATACTCAGAAAACCAGACAGGAGCCTCGTCAGAATAAGCATCGGTTTGCCCTGGCATCAGAGGCGAAAGCTGAGAGGACTCCTGATGAGGCTCGTCATTGGCGGTTGTACCCTCGCCGGCGGCAGATTGGATTGGTGTCTGAGATGGGGCACCGGACGTCCCCGCCGTCGTGTGGGACGGACCTGCGGCTGCGGCCGCCGCAACTGCGGCCGCCGTCTCCAGCGCCTTTATGTAGTTGATATAGCAAGTCCGCTCGTAGACGGGAACAATGTGGCCACACATGATGAACTCAGTATGGTAGAGTTCTGAAGCCCCGATCCACTCGGACGGCATACACGGTTCGTCAGTTTGGACATTGAAATGCGCCACAATCTCCGCCACTATGTGTCCCAGGTTTGCCCCACGTCTCACATTGTTCCGAATGTCGAAGAGAGCTCTCTTGAGGTACTGAAGCATGTACACCGATTTCCCTTGGGATAAAGACCATAAAATGAACACCTGTTGCTTGCTGACTATGTTCGATTCCTTTTTGCCGAAAATCGTATGGCAAATGTACTTGTGGACCACGCCTAGCACCACATCCGAGACGAAACTGGAAGATGCCCCAGTTGCCTTAAATGTCGCACAAGGGGATAAAAGTGGCCAATGCGGGTCCGCCTTAAACCCCGCCGAACTGCCTCTTGGGTCCTTAATATCAATCTGGAAAATGTCATTTAGCAACTTGTTGGTGATCTTGTATTCTTTGCTCTTGAGCCGAGCAGTGAGATACTTCCCTTCTTCGTGCATTTGAACTGTGGAGAAGAACTCGAGAGAGAGAGTCGGGTATGCCCGTGGAGCCATTCCCTCAAAGTAATCGAGGTTGAACAGGGCCAAATGACGTTCAACGTCCTCTTTGATGTGCACCTACTCAAGAAGGGTCCAATCGAGCACGCGGGGATGCAAGATCGGCTTCGATTTGAGACGTTTAAACATCGTAACCTCGTCCATAGAAAACATTAGGAATGGAACGTTGTGTTGTTGAGCAAGGGTCGGTGGCGCGGAAGCGGGGGCGGGTTTGGAGCTCCTAGAAGCTCCGACTTTGGATGCCGCCTTTTTCTTAGAATTTTTCGTTGTTTTAACCATTATGGTTTGTTGGAAAAATTCGTCGAACAATTGGTGTGCGGGTTAAAAGCGTGAGATCTTGCGGATAATTTGTAATGGTTTGAACCTGGAGTAGGCCTCCTCGTGCCACCAAAGTCAGCAATTAACAATTTGACGAAACTTATGGTACCTTTAGTCAGAATTTTGGTCGGGAATGAGCAACACACCCCGAGCTAGGGTTATCAGTATTATCGGACAAAAAGGTAGATGATAGTGGGGGGAATGAGTGCGACTGGTATGTAGTTGGAGCAACCTGGCCGGAGGTGGTCACTGGAGTTGATTGCCGAAAGTTAAGCAGACTGAAGTTGGATGGGTGGTTTCGGTTGGACGTGGGTGAATTTGAATGTGTTTGTGGTTAAATTTCTGAGGGATTTTGATTGGTGGTTATTTTAACCAGAGTAGGTTGACTGGAGTTGGTCGTCGGTGATGAGTCGCCGGACTGTGAGATGGCCGGAGTTTGGATGGGGTGGTATTTTTGGTCGAGCGTAGTGGTCAAGCGGGAGATGTGAGTGCAGTCGAATTGGGACTGTATCAAGAGGCTCGAGGTTGGAGAGTGTCACCGGAGTGAGTCCGTCGGAATTTGAACGGAGGTGATGGATTGTGGCCGTGCGCTGTGGAAGAATGATAGGAGTTGATGTTTGCTTGAGAGAAGAGAAAGATGGGGTGTTAGTGTGAAATGAGAAGAACAAGTCGGTTTTTTTTTTTTAAGCAGTCCCAGACCCTAGCGGCGCTAGGGTCAAGATAGCTCGAGCTTCAGATGTCCGCTAGCCCATCTAGCGGCGCTGGATTTTCAACCTTAGCGGCGCTAAGGGGGTACTAGCGGAGCTAGTACCTGCTGCTCACCCCTTTTCTCTCTTTTTTTTTCTTTTTTTTATGATTAATATATAAATACAACTGTACAATTGCTCGATTTATTTCCGGGAGCTCGGCACACCCGCGATCATGTATATCGTGGTTCATCGAGATCCACGGTCTCGACGTGCTTCTTCTCGATTTCCCCTCCAAAGTAAGGCTTGATCCTTTGTCCGTTCACAACAAATAATTCACCGATAGACGGGTTCCGAAGTCGTACCGCCCCGAAAGACAACACATCACCAATCACTCCACCGGGACTTGAGCTTTCCCGGAAATAGACGCAGTCAGGAATTGAAGAAGAGAACTTGCATGCCCAAAACCAACTCCTTCCGGACAATCTGAGCGTCATGGAGTCGTTTGACCTAATCCTTGTAAATCGTAGAGTTCTCATATGCCTCGTTCCTTAATTCCTCAAGTTCCGAGAGCTACAAAATCCGCTCTCTTTTGGCGGTGTCAAGATCAAAGTTCATCTTCTTTATCACCCAAAACGCCTTGTGCTCAATCTCAACCGGGAGGTGGCACGCCTTTCCATCGACGAGCCTAAACGGGCTCATCCCTAAAACTCCTTTGGTAGTTGTCCGTAGGGCCCATACTGCATCGTCAAGTCAACTCGACTAATCCTTCTGGGACGAGTTCACCGTCTTCTCAAGAATCGTCTTAATTTGTATATTGCTTGTCTCCGCTTGGCCCTTTTGTGGATGGTATGGGGACGCCACCTGTAACACCCAGCCTACTATAACATTGACTCCCGAAAAACTGGGTAAAATTTTCGCGGTTATTTTCGAAATATACTGCAACTGTTTTCGAAAAAACGTTTAAATTACTAACTTGCGGGATGCTACTTACTTACTGACTTACTTCTCTTTTTCTGATACTTATGCACGTGCCCAAATCAACATATAAAATCCGATTGGAGAAAATACGGATGAGGGAAAATTTAACGTGCATACATACTAGGTCTGGGTTGGCAGTGCGGAAGCGTAGAATAAAGTATAGTACAGTATGAAATTATTTATACATGCCAACATAACATAAACATAAACAAAATGTCCAGCTGACGTGGACACCACCACACCACCATGCTCGGCTCACGCTCCAGGCTGCACTCCATCACCTAAAAAGATAATAGTGGGGGCGTGAGTACTCATCCACTGTACTCCGCAAGAACCGGCACTGAATAGACAGCACGTATAATCGAATATCATAAACTCAGCATATACATAAATAAAATGGTACTGTACAGGTGCGGACTACCGGTAACTAGCCGGTTCTCAGGTGATCACGTTCTGGGGGTCGCCTCCCCAGAAACCTATGATGACTCTACTGGGAGTCAACATAAACTGGACCACGAACGGTTAAACTGGACCGTTCGGGTGAAAACTGTATATCTACATACATACCTCATAAATGGTACAAGATTATAGGCAATGTAATACCCAGTGCAGGGCCCCCACCTGGTAATACTGAAAATCTGGCAAGTGCTTGAAAAACTGTAGTAGCTGTCGGAGGCTCGACTCTCCTTAAGCTACACGAACATATAAGCAAATAAATGCTAAGTATGCTGCTCGGAATGTTTAATTATATGCTAAAATGCTCGGACTTATCTACGCGATTAAACTGGACTGGCTCGGAAAAATACTAAAATTTCGTAACTAGACTCGGACCAGAAGTCACGAATCAAAACTGACTCGAACCGCCGGTCGAACCGGCCGGACCGCTGGCTCGGCTGGACCGGGCGGTCAGGCGCTGGTTCGGCTGGACCGGCCTCGGCCCCGTGCCGGGCCAGCTGGTGCCCGGGCACGGCGCTGGGCACGGCTGGTGCGGCCGGGCTCGGTCCCT